TTTAGCGGACGATGCTGTGGTCAGATGTGCGTCTCCTGATGCTCTTTCTGGCTGAAGTGTGGAGGGAATTGGAAGAGGGCCCCCGTGGCCACAGGAGACTGCTTCTCATTTCTCCCTCGTGCTCTTCATTCTGTTGATTCCTACGTATAACTGAATTTTTAGCCACCTGCTGGATCGATCTATCTGGTGGCCAGAAATTTAAGCACATCCTCTTAGTCTCTGCAGATGGAGCCTATGAAAATATCTTCAGTTCCTCCCCTACCTTGGCCCAATCAGTTCTCATGCTACATAAATATCTGGCAGATAATGGTGAACATACAGCACCACTGTAAGGACTTCCTGCACAGTTTTGAGAATATCTTTCTAGTCCTTAGGCTTGTTTCTCCTTTATCGTACCCAGTGCTACTGCTGCCAGATCAGTATTCCAATGGGCATCTCCAGTGACTGCCTTTCTCTGATTAGCCTTCCTACATTCTTTTTTTTTTTCTGAGACAGAGTCTCCCTCTGTTGCCCAGGCTGGAGTGCAATGGCATGATCTTGGCTCACTGCAACTTCTATCTCCCAGGTTCAAGCAATTCTCCTGTCTCAGCCTCCCAAGTAGCTGGATTACAGGTGTGTGCCACCATGCCCAGCTAATATTTGTGTTTTTAGTAGAGATGAGATTTCACCATGTTGGCCAGGTTGGTCTCGAACTCCTGACCTCAGGTAATCCACCCGTCTCGGCCTCCCAAAGTGTTGGGATTACAAGTGTGAGCCACTGCTCCTGGCCCCTCCCCACACTGTTTACATCTGTTGTGCATTCTAGCCACAGTCCCCTGCTTCTTGCTTTTATTACAGATGTGCTGGTGTGCTCCAGTCCGATGCCATTCTGCCTTTATTTTCGTCTGTTGGAATTGTAGACATTTTCTGTGCCTCAGCTGAAATACCACTATTGACAAAAAAACCTTGTGGATGCTTCCAATCTTACATGAAATTTCCTGCCTTCAAGCCATTTATAGTACTTTACTTCTCTCTTTAATGACACATATCACACTGGGATTTGTATTATCCACATGTTGTAGTTTTATGTTACTCTCTCTTCTGAGCTACTTTTTCCTGGAGATCTGGGACCACAGATGACTCACCTGTGTATCAGTTATAACTTTCATATCAGTGTCTTGTGCAAGGAAGATGCTCAGTACTTATGTATCAAATCAGTGTCTGTTAGGATAATAATTATGCATGTATGAATTGAACCTGTCTATTCTCTATTACCATGGTGTGTTTTCTGCATTCTTTTAGAAGTTTGGAGCAATGAATTATTTTGTTACTCTCATGTGACTATTCCCTCTCTCCCACATTCAAGCATACAAATATGAGGAAGGCATTTTTGAACTGCATGTTATGAAGAGAAAAAAGAAAAAGACAAACCAAACAATTCTTTGTACATTTCATTCTGGTTAGAAGCCAACGTAAATGCTTGTGCTATAAGAACAAGCATATTTCCTGCCGTCAAGGCTTGGCTGTTTATCCTGGGACCCCTCTCCAACACTGGCTGCCCTCGAAAGACTGTTAACCCCTGCTTTGAGCCAGCAAACCAGATGTGGGTTTTTTAAGCAAATTATTGGTTATTTCACCACATGTAGTTTTTGCAGTTAAGTGTTTCCAGCTTTTCAGAGCATTCCACAGGAATAACATCATATTTTTCCTCCAACCTGTTAATTAACATAATTATTTATCAGCCCTAAAACCACAGCTTGAGTTTGTTAAGTGGCTAGCTGAACATACATTCACTGGATGGAGACCAATGCTGCTGGAGAGAACAATTCAGCAATAAAGAAAAAACTGGAGGTCCCTGGGGGAGGGGGAATGGGGCAACATGCTCCATTCCCTTCTTGCTTCTTGGGACTCATCAGTCTGTGCTTATGCTACACCTTTAGGTGTTGGCTTCACTTCCCCAATAACTTGTCATCAAGTTAATCTACTTTTTAGACTGAAGAGTGTGTCATGTGACCTCTGAGTTCCCATCCAGTTCTTTTTATTTTTTTAATTTTATTTTTTCCATAAGTTATTGGCAGTGCAGGTGGTATTTGGTTACATGAGTAAGTTCTTTAGTGGAGATTTGTGAGAACCTGGTGCACCCATCACCCGAGCAGTACACACTGCACCCTATGTGTAGTCTTTTATCTCTCGCCTCCCCTCACTCTTCCCTACAAGTCCCCAGAGTCCATTGTATCATTCTTATGCCTTTGCGTCCTCGTGGCTTAGCTCCCACATATCGGTGACAGCATATGATGTTTGGTTTTCCATTCCTGAGTTACTTCATTTAGAATAATAGTCTCTAATCTCATCCAGGTCATAGTGAATGCTGTTAATTCATTCCTTTTTATCCCATCCAGTTCTAATATTTGAAATGTGTCATTGTAGATTCAAGGGGTAAAATTGTGAAACTGCAACACCTCTAGACTATTTTTCTTTCACTCTCCAAATCTCATGGCACATTCTTGGGATTAGCAGAAAGTCCTTTCTTTCCCCCACCCCCTGCACTCCTACCCCATGGTGCTGCTTTCCCACCAACTGGGAAAGGATAACAGTACCTTAACAGATTGAATATGGAAACAGAAATGGGAATCCAGCTATCTGCTAATAGGCCAGATATTAAAGTAAGGAGATTTGCAAAACAGTAAGACAATGCTACTCTTCTCATTAAATATTTTTGGTTTTGGAAAATATACTTACTATTCATATAAGTATTATATTTATACCAACATGTAATATATTTATTGTTATCTTAAATAAATTTAAAAAATTATCAGTTTTAATTTCAAACGTAGAAAACATCAATAAATGCTACCTATATAAAACAAAAGCTTTTTGGGAGCCTTAATAGGTTTAAGGAGTGTGAAGAAGCGCTGGGACTAAAAAGTCAGAGAACCATGGCCTTTCATGTATCAGGGATGTGAACAGATCTTATGCTACCAAGCTTCCGTCATTCTGTTAGGCAAATGGTAAGTTCCTTAGAAAAGAAGTCAAACACGCTGGGCACCTGTAAGTGTTTAAGTACTTTGACAAAAGCCACCTCATCCTTAAGGTGCCACAGTCAACTGAGATTACCTCTAACAGTCTTGAGCAGGGCTTGCTCTAGAAACTGTAATGCATGTGCTGTTAGGGAAGAAGCCGGAGAGCTGAGGATGAGAGAAGCTGGTAGCTATGGGACCCGGAGAAGGGAAGGAGAGCCCTGGGATTAAATGAATAAGTTTTGGGGAAATACTTGTGGGTAGGAGTCCTGGGTATCTACAAATTTCCTCCTTTTAGCATTATTCCTTGAGAGCAGAAAACCTGTTTTCAGAATTCAGCTACTGCCTGCACTGTGGTTTTTGTGAAGACAATAATTAGTAGCTTGCAGTGGATTTCATGTGCAAGTTACAGTGGCTCCAGGCTAGACCAGAGATGGATACATGTCCAAATGTTTAAGTCAATGTTTAAACGGCTGAACTATAAAATGTTTGAATTTGATTCCAATTCCCGTAAAGCAGACCCCATCTTGCAACTTCTTGGGACTGTATTCTGCTTCTCTCACAGTTCGTTGACAAAACCTCTTTCCTGCCAACAGAGGTTTATTAGCACATTAGTGCTTGCCCTCACATTCCATTTTGAGAAAAACCTCACACACCCACAGCCAAAAGTCATTTTCATTCTATTTGCAGAAGCTGAAGAATAGCATCTTCATATCACTTTGATCACAGTTACAGTCTCCATAAAAGAAGAAAAAATTGCAGCAACTCTTCAATGAAACAGTTTTTCTTGAACTACTAGAGGCATCAATGATGAGGGTGGAGAGATGTACAGTCCTGTTTTGGGGTCCAAATAAGTCCTTTTAACATTAATACCCAAATTTCAGTGATTCATTGTTCCTTCCCACATCGAATTGCATTGTTAAAATTACCCTAATGATTTCAGAAGTCCTCAAGATGGGGTGTCTCTGTTGTGCTAAGGAAGGTGCCCAATCACCTTGGAAATGAACTTTTAAGAGCCTTAGTTAGCCAACTAACCCCAGATAGTATCTTCCCGTTTCTAGCACTTTAAAAAATCTACTTAGCATTATCTGGAATTGTCTTTTTAATTTATACGAGTGTGTGTTAGTTCTGACTCATTCCTTCCATTAGAATATAACTCCCTGAGGCAGAAATTCTGTCTTGCTCATACTATTTTCCTGGCACCTAGAACAGTGCCTGGCTTTCAGTATTTGTTGAGTAAAAGAATGAAGTTACCGTGCCCCTTCTGAAAATGCTTTTTCTCCAAGAACAGTCACGCTTCTCTGACGAAATCCACACTGAAACTCAGTTTTAATCTCTACTAATATTTGTGGTTGTATCTTCCCAAGGACAGGTTCAGAGAGAAGCATAAGGTTGGGTTTCTGCCACGGAATTGCCTGCAGTCAACTTGAGTGCTGTATTGTCAGTTAGGGTCTGGCAGGAACAGAAGATAAACCCTCATTGGGTAATTTGAAGTGAGGCTGATAAAGGCACTCTCTATAAAGATGTGAGCAAGGCTGAGAGGATCTAATGAAGGATGCTACTCTTCCGTTCAGCTAGTAATGACAGGAAGCTGTTGTCTCCCCAGAACCCCAGGAATGTGGTTCTAAGGAGAGGGCCAGCCAAGTGGACCTGGAATATTCTAGAGGAAACAGGGCCAGCTTTGCCACGTGCTTCCATGACAGAGTCAGAATTATGAAGCGAAGCCAGAGAAGCAGAAAACTAATAGGGGAAGAAGGGAGAGAAGAGGCAGAAAGAGTAGAGAATAAAGACTTCTTGGACCTGCATGGTGTGAAAAGAAATGCCCCACGGTCCAACATCTTCTGGATTCAGTGTGTGTTTGTGATTGTCTGATAAGAACATTGCAACACTCTCAACACCGTGACAACCGTGATTCCCAAATTGATCCTGAAAAAGTATCTGTAGATCCTTAGGTCTCTGGAGTTTTTAGAGTATAGCATCTCCTAATATTAATCATCTTTACAGAAGAAACTTCAGGAGTGATGCTAACTCATCTGTGCCACTTAATGCCAAAGTAACAAAGCCCCCATCCACTGAGGATGGAGAGAGCAGATTGTGTGGACAGGCAGGGGTTTCTGTCGCATAGAAAGCACCTTATACAATGTCTGACACACGGCGAGTGACCAAAACGTGGTAAGTAATAATGATAGCAGGCTCCCGACAGATAACTTGACTCTTAGGTTTCTGAGGCCGGTCTAGAAGCAAGCTGAACTGTACCTATATCAGAAGACCCCAGCAGGCCTGCCCCGAGGTGTACTCAGCGGCAGAAAATCCAGCCACATTCACATTCAGGCAGTCTGGCTGCAGCCTCTGCTCTCCAACCTGGTGGGTGCCCCACCCTTCGCCCCTCAGTGCTTGCTGTTCTTGGACACACCAGGGGCTGCTTACTGCCAGCCCTAGGCTCTCTCCTCAGGGCTTTCTCTGGTTGCAGGCACAAGTAGACCAGAAGTACCAGAGAGTTAAAATCCAGGAACATCTCTCATCTAACAGCCTAGACTTGGTGACTGAGTACTCCGGAGAGTCTCCGCTCAGCTGGGATGGCTCTCGAACTTGTTCTTCATAGTCCTTCCCAGGCTCCTAGCAGGACTGAGTCCTGGCCACCCACAGTGCGACCCTGCTGAGTAATGGACCCTGCGTTGACTTTCTTCCCATCCCTGGCCCAATATCTGTTTCTTTCCTGGTCCTTCCTGGGATCACGTCCTAAATCAACTGCTTGCATTCACATTCTTGTCCCAGAGTGACTTTGAAAGGAGACCAAGCCTAAGGCACCGCATGCTCCCATCTCCTCACCTTCAATTTCCCCCATGCTTTAAAATTTCCTTTCTCCCAGCAAACTCTTCCACCAGCAAACACTCTCCTGTTGGTTATTTATAACTTAGAGTGGATTTAAGCCAATGTATTCCATGTATTTCCAGAGTTTCTTCCATTTAATGGCGAGGTCAACTCAACTCAGTGAGCTTTGCCTCCATCGTCCTCCATCAGCTCTGGGGATTATTCAGCAGCGTTGGCTTTCTACTCCTTTCCTGCATCGCTCTTCTACTTTCGATTCCAAAGTGTTGGAGCTTTCTGTCCACTCTCTCCAATGACCTTCTATGTTTTTATCCTTTGGAAAACAACTATCTTTTTTTAAAAAAAGAGAGAAAGAACACACATATCATTCTTGTCCCTCTGCTCTCTCCTCTTCAGTGCTAGGTTTGTCCATTGACTTTTAAGGCTTTACGTATCATGTTTGGATGGGTGACCTCTAAAGCTATATCTCCACCATTAATTTCTCATCCAAATTCTGGTCTCCCATAGTCTATGGAGCATTTCAACATCCATACCTCTTAGTCCCAGATAAAGCCAGTAGATGCAAACAGAATTCCTCATCTTCACTGTCTTCTTTTCCTAAGCTGCCTGTTAATATCAAAGAGAACACCATTCCCACAATCTTTCAGTTTCACACTGTAGTATTCATGTACATTTCCTTCCTCTCTTTTGGCTTCTTAATCCTTTACCACTTCCTAACTCTCCTCTCTAACCACAGACTCTCCCTGTTCCACACTGCCCTATAGAAAGCTGAGTTAGTTTTTTCCAAATTCTGTATTCACCGTGTCATTATGCGGCACACACACACACACACACACACACACACACACAAAATAGTGGTAGTAGCTCTCAACGGACTTCAGAATAAAACCCAGGTTTCTCAAAGTGTCTGTGCACTTCTTTGTCCTTTCCTTATTTCTAAAAATGATTTTAGAGCTACACAAATCTGACTAAAAACTATTAATTTATCTTTCTCTATTTCCCTGCTCTCTTCTCTAGCCAGGCTGGTCCATCCAGTGCCCTCCAAACACCGTGCTCACTTGCATCTGTGGGATTTTGCTGGTGATCCTTCCCTATTTATCTGAGGTAAGGTATCTTGAGCCCTAGGCATTATGTGCTAGGCATTATGCAAAACTCTGACATTGTATATTATCTCATGTGATCCCTATAACAAGTCTGTGTGCTAAGAACTATTATTGCCTATATTTTATAGATAAAGAAATTGAAGAACCAGGAAGTGAGGGCACATTGCCACATCATACAGTGGGCAAATGCTGGAACAAGGTTAGAACTCTCTTCTGCCTGAATACTGTTTTAAAAAATACTCCAAACTTGTAGATCCTCTCCATATTGGGTCGTTTCAATGTCAAATGAGAGCACTATCAAACAGGCCTCCATAAGGAGTACCTGGTTCATCAGAGAGATGTATTTTTGTTTGACTTACAATTATTATTGCTTAGACTCTAGACTCTGTGGACTTATTTTAACTCAGTAGAGATTGTCAAATTCAAAGGATCTTTTTACAGTAGAGAAGCAAATATTTTTGTCCACTAGGAAAGGGGACCTCAAATGCTACAGTTTTTGTTGTCCCATAGAACATTAACCAGCTTTGTTTTTAACTTAGCAATCTTATTTCAGTCTTCTGACTCTCATGAACAACACATACTTTGATTTCTCGTACATTCTGTTGAGTCATCTTTATAATATACTGATTCCCTGATTAATGAGCTAAGTAGAACTTTGAAAGGTATGCACTTCGTATTTTTATGAGAGTCATGCTTTTGATGTTTAGAAGATTATACTTTGACAATGTAAAGCCTACACATTTAATTACTGTGCTTAATAACTGACTCCCAGTTCCAGAACGCTTGCCCCTTATCTATTCAAATCCTCCCCTTTTCTGTCAAATTTAGATGTAGACTCACCTCTCCTCTTGATATCCAACTTATGCTCATCATTTTTTCTTAGAACTTCTAGAATATTAATTGGTTTTAATGACACAGTACTTTAAATTTTCTCTTATTGTCTTATGCATCTACTTCTAGCTCTATTTCCATCTTGATCTTGATCTCAATCTCAATTTTGCTATCCATCCATCTATCTTCTTTCTCCACTCCCCTGACCCCAAGGTGCTTAGACTAGCTTTGGGCACACAATATATGTTCAGTAAATACATGTGGAATACAATTTAATTTAGTTTTGCCAATTAGCCTTTACTACAGCTTAGAATTCTCCTGATTTATATTTAAGTATCTCCAGTCAAAACAGAGAGGCACTGCATCCAAGAACGAGTAGCCTTCTGGAAAGAATAGTAGTGACTAGAAAATTCTGTTATCACACGAGGAGGGGAAAATGTCTTCTGCAAGCCCAAGAATCCTAAGAGTTAACTTTAGAATTTGCCCACATAGCTAAACCTCATTCCAAATGCCACTTTTCTAAAAAGCCAGCCCAGTGGCAAGCTGTGCCTTCTCCTTTCAACCACAACTCTGTTTAATTTCAAAACAAGGGCAGATAAAATATGCTAATACACAGCAAGTCTCCCCATTGCTATTCATTGGGAAGTCCCTTTCCAGTGTGAAACTCCAGTCTTCCGTGAATTCACAAACAAATGATTGCTCTTGTTACTGGCATTCCACACCGGTGATAAAACATGCGAGTGAATCAGTCTCAGCCTAATTGTATGAGTTTTCTTCTTGTCTCGAATCTGTATGGAAATGCATCTGTGTGCACATGTAGAATGTTTTAAAATAAGTGTACGCCTATCTGCCGGGACATTAATAGGAAATCCTCGGAGACTTCCATTTAGTGGTGGTGGTGGTAGTGATGGTGGTGTGTTTTATAAGTTCAAAGTCTTTGCACTTGAGCTGTAAGAGCCTTCTGTAAGCAGTGGACTGTTTAGCATACCATGTGGGCCACAGCCTCTGACATCTTGAGCTAGAAAAGCAAAGAGCTGGGAAAAGGAACACGATGGAGTACTAGCAGCCACGAGAGAGCAGGGCTGGAATGCTGGCTCTGACCACAAATTGGTACACGGAACTTGTGTTTTTCATTAGGGTTGCTGGAGTAATGCTGGTTTCTAGCATTCCAAAGGATATTCAGACTTATATTAAATTAAATTCTCCTTTAAAAATCACTCTATGTTGGAATAACATCAAGGATCAGACGGCAATCAAGAAAACTCAGGAAATATAAAACTAAACCTAGCTCTAGCTTTTTCTTACGCTGTTGGTATGAATGTACAGTGTACATTGTCCGTGATTCAGACAGTCATCTGGAATGCATCTTACAGATGAAGTTTGCCTAGAGCTTTTAATTGACTAGTTAGCTTAAGTTTTTAAATATTATTTGTGGATTGTAGAGGACAACTCTGAGTGACCATAGTACATTTGTATGCCAGTGCAAAACAAAAACATAAGAATATGTTTCATATTGTGCATAAACAAACACTTACGTAAGCCATATATTTGTTTATATATGCTTATATATCCATTTGCATAATTTACAACTAAAAGTCCCAAACTGGCTAAAATCAAGAGTTAAGGAACTTGTATCTTAATCAAACTCTCACTATACATCAATTCTTTCTCTTTCTCTCTCTCTTTCTAACACATACCCAGCAAACACACACCCCACAACACACACAGACACAAAATTTATGTGTGCAAGTTGATGTTTCTAAGTTCCTAAATAAGCATATATATTAGTCGGATAGGCTCAGCAATGCCACAGTAATTGACAACCCCAAAGTCTCAGTAGCTCACCGGAAGTTTTTTCTCTCTGCTATAGCCCTCCATGGATATGGGCAAACAGTTGTCCTCCATGATTGTCCTCCGAGCAATCCAGGCTGCTTCACTCTTATGACACTTCCATGTTAACACATGCATCCAAGACTGTAGCAACAAGGAAAGAATAGTCTAGGAAGTTAACCACGGTTAACCACCATATGTTGTTTCCATGCACATTCCATTGGCCAGAGCGAGTTGCACTGCCATACCTGACATCAAAGAGAGGGAGAAAGGACATCTTCCCATGTGTCTGAAAGTGGATACTGGTGACTAACAAAAGCCTTATAGTATGATTAATGAAACCTAATGATTATAACTCAAAATCAATCAGGTAATATCTTCCTCCCCCACCCATCTCTCTCTCTTTCCCTGCCCATTCTCTTTCTTTCTCTTTTACACACACACACACACACACACACACACACACACACACACACTCTACTCCAGGGGCATAAGTGGAATTCCTCTGTCTTCTCCTGAAAATAGACTAATCCAGGTTGATTACAGAAGCCACGGTGCCATTCCCTGCGGGTGGGGTGTCACACTCCGTACCTTTCTACAGGTGTTTCACATCATATAAATATCGAGTCTTTACTGAGAAAGATTTTCAGGTCCTGTCCTGAGAGTTAGTTCTCAAGGAAAGCAGAATTCTTTTTCTGAGTAGCAGTGAAAGAAGCGGGGGAGAAGGAAATGAACTAGCCCGGGATGGGATTGTAGGTGTTCTCCAAGCTAGACTCAAGAATTTCACAATATTGTTGCAGACCAATGATGCTGGTGTAGACTGCCAAGTCCTTAAAAGGAGCTAAATGTATTTTCCGTCCTGGTGGCTGAAGGGATCAGTAGATGAGTGGGATGCATTAGGATTTCCAGGTTCTAGAAAGGAGGAGTGAGGGATTCCATTTACAAAAGCCTTTCTTGACAGTGCTTCTCCCCATGAAATCTAAGAGAGAGTAGGATGGGGTAAGGCGTTGAAAAGTGGGGACACGAGAGACTTTCTGTGTCTGGGAAGACTTGCCCAGATATCCAGCTGCACTACAAATAATGGCAAGTGCTTTCGGAATACACAAAGCCCTGTAAGATCTAGCCCCTACCTTCCTGTCTTCAGCATTGTCTTGGATCACTCTCCATCCCCTAACCACCTGCCTCTGAACTCTAACTTTCTACAGTGCTGGGCCTTATTCTGTTCCTTGAGTGAGTAATTCGCCCTTCTGCACAGGGCCTTTGCATAAGCAGTTTCTTTGGCTAAGAATGCTCTTCCTCATCCTTTCTCACCTAAGTAATGCCTGTTCATACTTCGAATCTGGGCTCAAATGCTACTTCTCAGAGAAGCCTTCCTCGACCCTGAGACAAGGGCAGTACCACCATTACCATATGTCTTTACGAGTAATGCTTTTTTTCCTTCTAGTCGATAAGCTTCGTGGGGGATCATATCTGTTTTTCTCACCGTTTTATCTTTATTCTCTATCCCAGTCCTCTGAACATATTAAAAACTCAGTAAATATTTGCTGAAAAATATAGTGTTATAAAAATAAATGATCACAATCTCTAATAGTTATATAAGCATATTTCCTAATTTTATACTCAAAATAGATGAGTTGAACAGTGAGAGATAGCCTAGGTTGTGATTCAGGAGCACAAGTGGACTGGTCTCTGTAGCTACGACTCTCTATTCAGTACTCTCACCTTGGAAAAGTCACTTAACTTCCTCTGCCAGGTCTCATCCGTATTTAAAATTGGTGCTACATTCAATATTTATAAAGAGGTCCTACAAATAAAGAAAAGATACACACCAATAGACACATTATGAACAGAAAATTGGTAGGAAAGGAAATATAAATAATTAAAAATACATTAAAAGACCTTATTCTTTAGTGAAATGCAAAGGAAGCCGAATCACAAAAGAACTCACATTGTAATTCAAATGTACAGAGGAAATATTTCCTTTCCTTTTTTTTTTTTGAGATGGAGTTTTACTCTTGTTGCCCAGGCTGGCGTGCAATGGCATGATCTCGGCTCACTGCAAACTCTGCCTCCCGGGTTCAAGCAATTCTCCTGCCTCAGCCTCCCGAGTAGCTGGGATTACAGGCACCCGCCACCATGCCCCACTCATTTTTGTATTTTTAGTAGAGACAGGGTTTCACCATGTTGGCCAGGCTAGTCTTGAACTCCTGACCTTAGGTGATCTGCGCGCCTTGGCCTCCCAAAGTGTTGGGATTACAGGCATGAGCCACCGTGCCTGCCGAAGTGTTTCTTTATTATAGAAAGTAATGTGGTCTTCTTCCACGTCTCACTTATTGAGCAGCAGGAAAAAAACTACATCATAAAACCCCAATCCAGTAACTACAGTCTAGGCTGATGCAATAATTTGAACAGTCCATTGCAATTTTGCTCAATGGCTTTAGGTAAAAAGGCTAATGCTAGTATCCCAGAGTTCTACCTACTTTCCTTGCTTCTCTACAAAATGACTATGGATGTATAAAGAAACTTATTGGGTCTGAA